ATGGCATTGGTCTTTGAAGGAAACAACAACCACAGGAGGGCATTTTGTGCTAGGAAATTATTCTATGAATTTATTCTTCCTTATATCAAATCTCATTCCTTCCCCCAATATGACGGCTGTTCTCATGACAGTCTTTTTCAGAATTTACAAGAAAGTACTTAAATGTGATGGAAAGCATCCTTTCCTCTGCCAGATGTCTTGTTTTCTCTATACTTCCTAGCTTATCCTCTCTCAAGGATTCCTTTTAAATTCAAATGCATTTTAAAGATTATTACCATATTCTATTCTCCCTATCCTACATCAGCTGTCCCTCAACAAGTCCCTTTCCAAGTCCAGCCTCTTAAGAAATATTTCAAAATATATTTTATTTTTCATATTAAACTTTGACATTTTCCAAACATAGCTCAATATGTTACTTTTAAGTAAAAAGAGTTTTCCAAACAAAATTGTCACAATATGCTACTATTAAATGTTTTCCAACCATACATGTGTGTGTGTGATGTGAATTTTAAAATTACTATTAAAGTCTACTGAGTAAATGAATAATGAGAAAACATTAATATCAAATGCGTAGACATTATTATCTAAACTTAGATAAACTGGGATTTTTTCCAAATCAAATGTGAAATCATCAGTCCAAGATGATTAGGAGAAAAATGATGTAATAAAATCAACTTTTAAATAGCTATGGCATGTTGCATTTCCTAGGAATTGTCAAATGTTTGCTTAAGAACTGCCAAAGCAATTGAAATAAAAGATAAAGTACCCAGACAACTCCTTAAAATCATATTTCTAAAAAATTATAAATTTCCACAATTCTGTACATTATTTAGGGGAAAAGTTACTTTCCCAGGAAGAAAACTTCACTTTAAAAAACCACTCCAGTATTTCCCTTGCTAAGAAATAAGCCAGATGGTTCCAACGTGTGGAGTTTTACTTGGGAAAAAAATCAGAAATACAAGGAAACTTTAGTAACTGTTTGGTACTAACTACCATTGTGTGACTCCTACAAGTTTTCTTCTTGATGAAAGATGATGGGATAATAATCAATGTCTACCAAAAAACAAAATGAAAAAGCAAAACCCTGGAAACCATCAGCAAGTGATTATACGGGGTCAGTATGACATTCTAGAAAGAACCCGGACTGGTATCAATATGCCTGAAGTTGCCACTTAGCAAGCGGAAGAGAATAGATTCCATAGAAGTGTTTTTAAAATGCTTCATTTTAAGCGTACCGTTTGATGTCTTTGACAAATGTATATACCTATTGACACCATCACCTCAAACAAGATATGGAATATTTCCATCACACTAGAAAGTTCTCTCATGTCCATTGCAGTCAATCCTCTTCCTCATCCTTGCCCCTGGCAGCTACTGATTTTATTTCTAGTACTATAAATTCGTTTTACCTTTTCTAGAACTTCATACAAATGGAACCGTGTAATATGTTCTCTCTTGTCTGGCTCCTTCCGTTCAGTTGTTTTTCAGAGTCATCCATGTTGTCAAGTGTGCTCCTTTTTTGTTGTTGCACAGTGTATTCCATTGTATAAATGTATGATTTATTTATCCATTTCCTTGTTGGTGGACATTTGGGTTGTTTCCAGTTTGGGACTATTATAAATAAAACTGCTATGGATAATGTATGTATCATATTACTATTTGATTTCCATTTGTCCCTTCAAATTTTTGTTCCTGTTTCTCCTTTCCTGCCTTTATTTAGGTTAATCAAATATGTTCTTAGTATCCCTCTTATTTATTCTATTGGCTTCTTAACAATAACTTTTTGTTTTTAATTTTTAAATGGTTGCTCTGGCACTAACAATAGGCATATTTAATTTATCAAAGACTATTTATAGTCCAGTATTTTACCGCTTCTCTCTTTATACCTGACTCTTCATACTTCCCATGTCACAATTGTAATAATCTTACAAAAATATAACTCTATTTGCCTGCCCTCCCTTTGTGTTATTGTCATATCTTTTACTCCAACATAGCTGTCAATCTCACTTTACAATGTTGTTATTTTTCTTTTAAATGGTGAGTGACTTTTATATTTACCCATTTATTTACTATTTCCAATGCCCTCCATACCTTGCTATAGACTGGAGTTCCATATGGTATCATTCCCGTTTAGCCTGAAGAATACCCTTTATCATTGCTTAAAATACAGGTCTTCGTTATAAGAATTTTTGAAGATTATTTCCACAATTCTCCCAAAATTGGATCAACAATGTTTTTCTTTCAGCAATTTAGAAATATTATTCCATTGCATTCTGGCCCCTATTGATGCTGATAAATTTGCCATTATTTGTATCATTATTCTCCTGTATTTAATGTCTTTTTTCCCTCTACTTTCCAGATTTTCTCTCTTTGGTTTTCAACAATTTGATAGTTTTTTTTCTTTAATGCTGTTTGTTTCTTGGATAGAAATCAATGTTTTTTAAACAAATATAGGAAAATTTCAGTGATCATGTTTTCAAATATATATTCTTCTCTATCCTTACTATCCTCACTTTTGGGGACTCTATTACATGTATGTTAAACCATTTGATATTATTCCACAGGCCATGGGGCACTGTTAATTTTTTTTAATTTTTTTTCTCTGTTCTGCAATTAGAAAATTCCTGGATTTTTCTTCAAGGTAACTGATTCTTCAGCCATCTATAATTTGCTGTTAAGCCTGTCTGGTGAATTTTTAATTTTAGCTGTAATTTTCCATTCTAGAATTTCTGTTTGTTTTTGTTTTTGTTTTTTACAGTTTTTGGCTCTCTGCTGAGATATCTTATCTGGTCCTTCATTAAGACTATATATTCCTTTACTTATTTGAACACATTTTCCTTTTGTTCTTTTAACATATTTCTAATAGGTATTTTAAGTTTTTTTATCTGCTAAAACTAACATGTGAGCACTCTCGGGGTTGGTTCATATTAACTGACTTTTCCTTGACTATCAGATTTCTTTGCATGTCTAATAATTTTTTTCTATATAAAACTTTGTAGATGATTCATTGAAGAGACAGTGGACTTTGTTACTTTCTTGTGAAGAGTGTTGATTTTTGTTCTAGAAGTAGTTAAATTGCTGGCTGAACAACTTGAACTTGGGTAACCTCAGAGTTACACTTTGTTAGCATGGTTCTGTGGAAAGTTCAAGGTGTTTTCCATGTTCCTGTCACTTGGTCATATTTATCTCTACAGGGGACACAGAGTTTGGAAGTTGAGACTTTGTTACAGTAGACCTCAGGTAGGTCTTATTCTAGAATGTGGTTCTTACTCACAAGGTATGGCCTTACTGGCATTTCAGCTAAATGGCTGGGATGTTAATGAGATATTAACTCAGTCTCTCCATTTTGATTGGGCTGGAACTCCAATATCCTCCAGCACTGCTTGGACTCCAGCCTACTGGGCCAGGGTCAAGAAAGTTTCCCTGAGGAGGGCAAGAGTGAGGCTCACCTTGTGAGCTTTCCTTCTCTCAGAGATTAGTTTTGTGCTACCTCTGGTTCAATGCCTAGAAAGAATTGCCTCATGTATTCTGTTTAGTTTTATAGTTGTTTATGGCAGGAGGCTAGTCCTGTGCCAGTTATTCAGTCTTATCCAGAAGCAGAAGTCCTCCACAAGCATACGATGACTTTGCCTTCTGGCTTGGATACTAGATGGTAATTGTCCCATCAATTTCCATAGGAAATCTAGGAACAGGAGCAAGTTTGGAAGGAATGATGATGACTCAGGTTTTGTTCATGTTGCATAGGAGGTGTGAGAGAGGCTGGCAGAAGATAGCGATAGTTCTATTCATTCACTAACACTTGTACTTAAAATTGATCACCACTTATTCATGATAGTGATAATTTTATTGATTCATTAACACACTTAAAATTGATCACGACTTATTCATGCACAAACTATTCCTTTCTATTTTATTACCTTTAAATAGCTTCATTAAATTAAAAAAAAATAAATGTGAATAGCATTAATTTTGACTCTTCCTTGAGTTATTTTAGAATTGGAATCAAAGTTATGGTAAAGAAAATGTTTGTTTCCAAAGTGACTTATCAAAAACTTCAAGGTTTTTTTTTCTTTGAGGGGGGAATGAGCATCTGTTTAATCTTGTGATGAAATGATTTCTTTCTTTTTCTTCCACCCTGTGTAAGCATTATCTCTCGGCTACAGTAGGCTAGAAATAACTCTGTGCCACACACGTTACACTGAAGTAAAATGCCTACAATGTACCAAACACAAACATGAAACTGGTGCTGACACAACTGGAGGAACACGAGCAATAACAATGAGTATGTTTGGGTGTTCCTGTGGGCTGTCAGGAATCAAAGTAAAAAGCACTGTTGCTGTACAACTCTGAGCCATCACTATTCCACTAGAGGTTTCAGTTTTACCAGTTGTGGAATGAAGGGCAGTTGGGGATTAGATTGTGAAATTCTTTTGGCAGTCATTCAGGGGCAGCCACTGTTGGAGAGAAATTACACTATGTCCATTGCTGCATAACTCTGCAGAACAGCTTCCTGCTTTCATCCAGTCCGTGGCATTCCTCCTATATGGCTGGGGGCTAAGGCGGCTGCGACCCTGAACCAAAGATCCACAGTGATTTGTATCCTCCGGCTTCCCCTCTAAATGTGTTAAATACTAGCCCTCATCTAAAAGAACATTTTGGTGCTGCAAGTTTACCGATTTCACTCCCTTCTCCCTCTTCCTCCCCACCCTCTTTCCCTTCCTCTCCTGGCCTTCCTCTCCTCTCCCCCTACTTCCCCACTCTGACCTGTCTCTGACTATCTCATGTTCTGCTATTTGTATGATGTGGATGCGTATTAATTTGAACTAATCTGGGTTGCACAAAGACAAACAGAAAGTCCTATGGTTTGCTTTGAGAGTTATAGCAGAAGATGGAAGAATTCATAATGATTTAACATCCTTTAGCTAGCTTGGTGACCATTAGAGGGTAGGCTGCTTTAAAGTCTGTATCTTATTTATTTATTTATTTATTTAAATCCCTAGTGCCTAACCCATGGAAAGTGTGCTTGACAAATCTTCGCTATCGAGTGAACACCGGAAAAAGACACCTGTTCCAGTTACTTTGGCCTAGGAGACTCCAATGAAAGGTAACATGTTGGCATTCCATCTTCTTCAGTCCAAACTGCCCTCATGTGCTTTCCTGACTCAGTGGAATGAAATAGGCATTCTTTACCAAAGAAATAGATGTTGGCCAACTTTAAAACTTGAATCCTGGCCTCATCAGTTACTACTTACCTGTGTGACAATGGACAAGCTACTTAACATCTCTGGGCCTCAGTTTTCTCATTTGTAAAGTGTGGATAATAATTGTACTGACTTCACAGAATTATTGTGAGGATTAAAAATCAATAGCATTACATATTTGCTGGGCAAAAAAAGATCTTAATATATAGTGATTACTACAATTATTATTATTGAATAATTTTTAAGGACATAAAGAATGGTAATTTTTATAAATGCCCATCAGAAGCAATAAATATACATACTTTGGTTATTAACCAAAAATCTAACTATAGACCAAGATTTTTTTCTAGAAAAAAATTAATTCTCATATAAGCGAAGATTTTGAAGTACTTGTAGCTTATTCTTATGCCTGAAGTAATGTATAGGTATGTTTATTTACTTGATAACTGTAGTTGTCTGAATTGTGTCCCCCCAAAAGTTATGTTGAGCTCCTAACTCCCAGTACCTGTGGATGTGACCTTATTTGGAAATAGGGTCTTTGCAGATATAATCAAGTTATGATAAAGCATAGGATTAGGGTGGGCCCTCAATCCAAAGACTGGTGTCTGTATATGAGAAAGGAGAGGGATGTTCAGACACAGAGACACAGACACACAGGGAAGAAGGCCATGTGAAGATGGACACAGAGACTGCCGTGGTGCAACTGTAAGGCCAGGAGCACCAAGGACATCGGCCACCACGAGAAGTTAGGCAGAGGCAAGGAGGGACTTCTCCCTACTCCTTCATGGGGAGTACAGCCCTGCCGACACCTTGATTTTGGACTTTAAGGCTCCAGAACTGTGAGAGAATAAGTCTCTGTCGTTTAAGCCACAAAGTTTTTGGTACTTTATTATAGCAGCTCCAGGAAACTAATGTAATAACTGACAGAAAAGAGGGATCATTTTTTCTCCATTTTTTAAGTTGCTTGTGAAACAATGCTTTAAAAATATCTTCAGTTGGATTTTGTTTAAAATATATGGTTTGTAGGCAGGAACTTCACACTTCATTTTCCTTTTTAAATTTTTTGGAGGGGAAGGATATTTATAAACTATGGAAAAGCAACTACAGGAAGAGGTGTTTTAAACATGGGGATATGTTTAAGTAATGTTACTGATGTTTAAGGAGTGTGAGTTACATTCTAATACTGTGGAAGTTCTTTATAATATTTTCCAGGAGATGGGGTTTTTGAACTGTATGTGCAGGAAACCATTACATGGGGAAAATATTGCTTTAAGGGCCCCTGGCTGGGACTTTTAAGAGTTATGTATGAGAAAACACTGAGACTGGGGGAAGGGAAAGATGTTATGACAAAGTGATCTTGTATTATGCTCCAAAACACCAAATTCTGGGGAGTGTTGGTAAGCATCCTTCAAATTCATTCGTATTCATTGTTTTTGTTCACATTTCTGGAGTTGATTTTGTTTGCATTAAAAAAACAATCTCCTTTGAGGTAAAATCAAAATTTAAACACAAAACCTTTCAACCAAAAGCACACTATTTTTGGGATATCGCAACTCTATTAGGGTAGAGGACACATGACCAGCTCTCTAAATTATGAACTCACAGCTGAGGTCATTAAGTAATAGGAGGCATCTGGGCTTGGACAGCAGCAGCATTGGGGAGAAGCAAGGGCTTTGAGGTTACAGAGCCCAGACAGTTGTAGGACATGGGCCAATTCACTTACATTGATTTTACCTTTTGGTTTTCTCACCTATGTAATGGGATAATTCTTACCTCATTGGTTCTTGAAAGGATTATTTGAGCTAATATATGCAAAGTAGATAGAATAATTTCTAGCATTTGTAGAAAGTCAATAAATACCTTTCCTCATTCTTCAAAAAATTTTTAACACACATTTGAGATCACCTCTCTGCCTTTACATCCAGGAACTGGGGAGACGCTGGATGAAATTCCAGCACTATGTTCATGGACCCAAGTTATGGGGCGATGACTAGACAGTTCCAGCATCTGCCTTAGCAGCATAGAACCTGTTAGATTTCCCTTGGAAGGAGTAGAAGCTTTCCATCATTCCAGGCAGTGCCTGGAATTGCCTGTTTAGGTGTAATCACATTCTGTTCCAGAGCTTGAAGGGGATTTCTGCTCACTTTGCAATTCCAACATCGTGCAAAGGAAAGACTACTGAATTGGGAGCAATGAGAAATAGGCTGGAGTAAATCTCTGGAATTTATTTGGTCCCTAATTCCTTCAACTGTAAATTCAGCAGGTGAGAATAGATTCATTTCCAAGATTATCTTGAAGCTATGTTAGCTGAGGTATGTTTTGGAGTCAGGCAGCCATTGCTTTGAATCTCAGCCCCACTATGTAATTGTTGTTCAATTTTTGCCAAGTCATTTAACTTCTTGGAGCCTTAGTTGCACAAATTGTAAAAGAGGGAATAATACTTAATTGAAAGGATTGTTGTAAGGATACTGTGAGGAAAAAATATTGGAAACACCTGGCACAAAGCAGCTATTCAATGAACGTTGGTTCCCTTTTACTAGATCAATGGTTCTCAAACGATAGCATGAATCAGAATGACCTGGAAGGCTTGTTAAAACACAGAGGTGGGGACCCTAGAGTTTCTGATTCACTAGGTCTGGAATAGGGGTCCCCAAATTTGCATTTCCAACAAGTGCCTAGACAGTGCTCCTGATCATGCATTGAAAACCAATGCTCTGAATCAGGAGTCGACAAAGTACAGCACCTGGGCCCAATTGACCCGCTGGTTGCATTTGTAAAGAAGTTTTATTGGAACACATCCATGCTCGTTGGTTTACATATTGTTCATAGCTGCTTTTGCACTATAATGGCGGAGCTGAGTGGTTCCAACAGAGACTGTACAGCCCACGAAGCCTAAAATATTTACCATGTGGCCCTTTACAGCAAAGTTAGCAGACCTCTCCTAGACTATCACGCCGTGTTCTTCCTGAGGAGTTTGGGGCTCTGAAAATTTGTTTAAAACTTCTTTTCGGTCAGGAGGCCTTAATATCTTCCCAAATATTAGAAAAGTGAACTTTGTAGGCCTAAGACTTAATTAACTGAATCAGAGAAATATAATGGTGTTCGTGCACAGCTGAGTTGTTAAGGGGCCTTGCAGTTTGACCCTCAGCTCCACCGCTTACTGCTGTGTGGCTTTGGATAAGTTAGTTCACTTCTTATATGTTAAATGGGGATAATAATAGTACTTATCACATAGAATTATTATGAGAATTAAAAGGAGTTACATAAGTTGAAGCATTTAGAAAAGTCCCTGGCATACAGAAAGCCCTAAATAAGTGTTAGCAGCTACTACCACTACTATTAAGAAAGAAAGAATCTTCAGTCTGCTCTGTTCTCAGAAACATTATTTCCCCTCTCCAGGTTTTTCAATCTTTTTAATTAGTACAGGAGATTGTTAAGTGTATTTGTTGTGTGTTTATGATAGCAATGCAGCCACTTTAGTTCAAAATATTTGATCACAAATGTTTCTTTCTCTAATAATTATCAAAACAAAGTGAGAGAATTGCATTTTTATGGGGATGATTCATTAGAATTAATGACAAAATTAATAGGACCGACCTTACCAAAATCCTTGCCTTCCCAGCAGTCCTTTGTGGAGCCTTAAAAGCTTTTCTGAAGTGGGAAGGAGATCAAAGATCCTTTAAATCCAAAAACCCAGCATAGCATACTAAGGAATCTCTGTGGTCAAGCTGAAATTTCTATCTTGAATTGTTTGTTCTGAGTCTGAAGCTCTCCAGAAACGTCTTGGGAAATAAGTTCTCTTTGGGTTCTGTCATTGGGCTGTCTTGCTTGTAGAACTTTGCCTTCTAATAATGTCTGAGCTTGAAGCACCAAGCACATAAATGATGAAAATTAGCGGCTCCCTCTGTGACATGAACACGGTATCAGTCAGCTCTGCTCTTCCCCGTCTTGTCCAGACTGTCATCCTGCTCTCACTCAATGTCCTATCACCACTCTTTTCTCTTACCTCCTAACAGCGCATGGTCAGAGTTGGGCACACGTAGATTTTATTCCTAGTTTTCCCTCTTGGAAGCTGTCACCAGCCAGGTTTGTTTTGCCCACTGCTCGATTATCCCAATCACCAAGAGGAGGCGTTTGCTATTCATAAGCAGCCAAGTGAGGAGACCAGAGAACCAATCTCAAATCCACCTCCCAGAAAATGGGGACTAGGGAGATTTGTGGTATAGAGGGGCAGGTGGTCTGAAGTGTGGAATAGATGATTGGAGGTGAGGAGAAGTGAGGTAATTGATTGGTGATCTGCGCAAGCGTAGTCAAGCTTCATGGCACTTCATAAGACACATGTTCACAAGATGGTGACGTTAGTATGATCTGAGGGTGGAGTTTTCGGCCCCTGATGTCAAAGTGTCATCCGTGCAGGTCCACTTGATGAGTCAGTGGTCTTAACCAGCCTGAACTGGACAAGGAGTTGACTCTCAGTTCCTGAAAAATTTAAGCGCCCCATCCGTTACCATGGTGACCCAAGCAGCAGAGATGTTCTGGATAGGGTGGACTTTAGTAATGCATTAGCTACCTACTTTTGCAAATAGACAACTGAGTATAGTTGAAGCAAATTGGCCCCCAGTTTCAAGTTTGGGCCTCTATTTCCTCTTTTCTAAATTGGGATAATTGTATCATGTAGGTATTGTGAATATTGACTATGAGAGCATATAAGTGTTCTGCACAATTCCTGATGCGTGTAAGGGCTTTATAAATGCTGCAGCCTTGTCTTCCGCTCTCACCACACCCGTCACTTTTTGAACTATGTAATGAGACCTTGTAAAATAATCTGTCTTTACTTGGTCCTTTAAAAATGGTTTCCTAAATAATAAGAATCTAGGTCCTTTAAGCTGAATTGTAGCCCTCA